GAATTCTCGAAAATGTGGAATCACGTCTGTTATTGATTCTGACGTTGAATTAGAAGAAACAATTTCAAATAACTATAACCAAAGAAACAAAATGGTGCAACGATTTATGAATTTTGTATCAATCATTGTTTCATGGTTTAGCAAATTCCTTGAATTTCTAAAGCTGAAGACAGTTAAAAGAAGAGAATATTATGCCACTTACGAATATAAAGAATATGGTATTGTTGGATCATTCATGTACCTGTAAAAGTAGTTTTGCAATATAAATAATTTATTATCACGTATTAATTTTATTTACTTTCAGAATCTAAATACTCGAAAATCTGGAAATATGTCGATCATTGTTTGCAATATGTTTATCTCTTTATGGTTAGAGTGTTCTTCTTTGATTCGTGGTTATTGAGCCACGTATCCAATGCTAGAAGATGGATACACCAGAGAAACCCAAAGATTTTTTGGCTTGCTTCATTGCCACTGCTTCTTCTTACTGGTAAATTTTATTACAACCATTAAACTACTGTAAAGGATTCGGCAATTAGAAAGAAATCTGTGACTTCGTATCGATATTGTTTCATTCCTCTCCTATTTTTTTCTTTTTTTTTTTTTTTTTTTTTTTTATTATCTATCACGTTTATCTTCAAGATCGAGTTTTTGCCTTGGCATCTTCGGGAAGACGGGTGAAACCTATCCTGGCGTTTCTTTTTCTTTTTGTTTCAGGAACTTACATCGTGCAAAAACAGTCCTTTATCAGTCTGGATTCTCTGCGAAATATTCCCTACGATGTCACTGAGACGAGCAATCGCATCTTTAACGATATTATCAGCTTATCGATTTCCCAAAGCGATTTATTCGTTCAATATATAAAAAAACTTAAAGACTTGTCGTTATATTTCGTGCCCGGTGTGAACGTGTCTTCACCCGAGATGCCTTAGCATTGTTTAGAATTTGATCGCTTGAAGATTTTTTCATTTGTCGTTTATAATTTACTTTATACGTAGTTTCTAGTAACGCTGGACTTGGTTGAACTTGCTTTATTATGCGTATTATGCGTATATGTAACGTAGCAAGTATACATATGATATAATATACATACGTATATATGTACGTATCATATATGCATCGTAATGCATAACTGATTTTTCGTAATTATTAATGTTTGCTAATACTAATATTTGCTGATAACAAATTACACACATCGCATTTTCAAAGTAGAAAATTGTAATTGGTACCGAGAAATATTGCCACGTTATGTTTTTGATATATTTTGTACGTTATATCTTATTGGTAGTCATTCTATATATTTACGACGGAAAGTAAGTAATAATTACGTGCAAAAGTTATCTTTACGTATGCCCGATGCTATGGTATCTGTGAGAGCACGTTCATACGTCGTTCGTAGAGACAGAACAGTAATTGGTCGTTCGTAACGTAACGTTGTCAATATAAAACAAGAAAATGTAACCAAATGGTTAAATTTAATAATGGGAGAAGGATAGAGGGAGTAGGATTCGTTCATTGACAGTGTAAATAAATTAGGATATTCGTGCTTCACGAGGAATATGGATATAATCTATCTCTATATCTCGATATCATCGGAATGGTGAGTCCCTTCGTCTATCCTTCTCTCGGTATTTGTAACAAGTTACAAAATTGGCAAAATTTGAAGAAAATTATATCTTTATATTTCAGGTTGGTGGTGTTTACTACATTTTTCAACTTTGTTTCCTCTCACCAAAGTAATTACACGGCAATTTGGAGTTGGAGTTGGACCGGAGTTAGTTCCGAGTGATAAACCGTTATTTTTAAAGTGGGAAATGTTTAGGAAAGGAGATAATCTTGAATCGATCACCGAAAAATTACACGATAGAATCAATAATTTAGAGGATCGAACTATCGAACAGTCTGTAAGAATTTTTGCTCACTTTTAACGTCACAATGAAAAACAGATTTATCTTTTTTTTTAATAAATTAGCTACAATCAGGTCAAATATTTAATATACACAGGATCGTCTTTTCAATATAACTCAGTCGCTTGAGCAGCTAAGGGAAAAAGGATACGTTTGGTCAAAATACGATGTAAGTTGATGATAACATTTTGTTCTTGATACTCCTCGACTCTAGTATTGGCACTGTATCTGCTTTTGTTTCAGAACGAGATATTATTATTGGAGAAGAGAATGAAAGAATACAAATTAGATGATATATACTCTCAAGAAATTAATATCATTAAATCACAGTTGGAGAGACTGAAAGAATTTTATTCAGAGTTAAAATCGTGTTGTAACACACGTACAAATCGTATTAGCAGCGAAGATCTGGAAAAACGAATTCAAATGGCCTTTGCCGATTATTTCGATATTTCAACGTCGAGAAGAGAAAAAGGTATTCGCCGCGATGCGTAGAAATCGTAGTAATCATTCGAACACGAGTGAAATATATAAGTTTCCTTATATAATTACGTATCAAATATAAGGAAAGTAAATGTGAAATACACGAAGAATAATTCTTTTTTACAGTTCACGATAAATCGTGGATCGTTAACGATAACGATAACGATAACGTTGTAACGGATGACCGTGTGCGCGAAATAGTTAAGGAAGCTATAAAAATATACGACGCGGATAAAACTGGACGCGTGGACTATGCTTTGGAGTCTGCTGGTAAGTTTGTCGATTTCAATTGATCGAATCAACACGATAATTATTACGACTGAACATATCGTCATTGTTCATTTATTTATTGTTTGACTAATAGGTGGTCAGATTATCAGTACACGTTGTACGCAAAGATACGATACGAAAACTAGAGTAGTCAAGTTATTGGCTTTTACCCTATATCATGAAAATAATAATCCTCGTACAGTGATACAAGGAAATCCAATACAACCAGGTGCTTGCTGGGCATTTCAAGGCTTTCCAGGATATTTATTAATTAAGTTGCGAAGTTCTATTTACGTTACTGGATTTACCGTGGAACACGCACCGAAATCAATTTTGCCCAACGAAGAAATGAGAAGTGCTCCTAAAAAATTTAACGTTTGGGTAAGTAAGCCCACTCTCTAATATATATGCGATATACGTCACTGGGTTTTATAAATTCCACATTTTTGTTAAATAGGGTTTTGTCGATGAGAATGATTCCGAACCGGTATTGTTCGGCGACTATGAATTTGCTGCTACAGACGATAGTTTGCAATACTTTCCAGTTGAAGTAAGTTACACATCTTTAACACGATCATGATCTTATTAAATCATCCTGAAAGTAACCACAGCTTTGAATTGTTTGTTTTCAAAGTACACGCTAAATTTAAAATTTAAATAAGCGCTACCTTGCTTGTTAAAGGAAAATGATATATTTTTGCTAATGACGGTGTATTTAGTTTTTGCAATTAAACCGAATCAAACTCGATAAGGCCATGTCATAAAAGTCTAAAGGTATAACTAAATAAAGTACATTGTGAGGCTTATTTATGTTTTTTCAATTTCAAGGCAATTAATTCGAAAGCTTGCGTCAGACTTGAGGATGATCCACTTGTACATATTTCTAGTGTTTTCTTAAACATTCGTTCTAACGCAATTGATATTTTTAAATGTAGAATACAACGATCGAGACACCATACGAATATGTGGAATTAAGAATACATAGTAATCACGGGCAACTTGAATATACGTGTTTGTATAGATTTCGTGTACACGGAAAATCGATCTAAATTATCTTTCACTGAAAATTCAAGTGCAAGTATTTCGAATATTGTAATTGTAATAAGAATGGATTCGCAATTTGATTCATATCAAAGTTAGTGAAGAAAGCAAGTGAACAAACGAATGCACGAGTCGACAATTCGTGGGTAGTGGAGAATGGTTCAAGGAAAATTGGATGAGAGAAAGTTATTGCATGTTGTGCCTTCAATTACTATTACTCGATGTAATAACAGTAACCACTGCGATCTAGAGAGAGAGAGAGAGAGAGAGAATTATTTTATAACGCAACGTATACACAAAGTGAATGAGACGAACGTTACCCGTGTCACACATAGGACAAACAAGCCTATGCACGTGTCATAGAGTCGATTATTTAACCATCTTCTTTTTTTGTACGAACGTTGTGCTCTTTTTCCACAGTTCTGTTGCCAAGCACAAATGTAACAATTGCTTTCGACGAGATACGTACAAGAAGAAAGAACACCCATTAGCCATTATTTTCTAGTATCGATCATATAGAAATAAGAAAAAAAATATGAGTTGTTATTGGAGAAAAAGCTCGGCATTTTAAATATTATCCAAAGTTCAATACCATTACGTTTGTGATATCGTACAGTTATTCACGCGACAACAGTACAAATTGTAAAAAAAAAAA